GCCTTAGCTGGTTGAGCTATAGGCACTGAGCCTCTTTTTTTTTTTTTTTTAAACAGACAGTCTCCCTTTCATCATCCTTGGTAGAGTGCTGTGGCATCACAGTTCACAGCAACCTCCAACCCCTGGGCTTAGGTAATTCTCTTGCCTCAGCCTCTCAAGTAGCTGGGACTACAGGCAACTGCCACAACACCTGGCTATTTTTTCTTGCAGTTTGGCTGGGGCTGGTTTTGAACCCGCCACCCTTGGTATATGGGGTTGGTACCCTACCCACTGAGCCATAGGCGCCACCTGACAGGGTCTTACTCTTGCTCAGGCTGGTCTCGAACCTGTGAGCTCAGGATAATCCACCTACCTCGGCCTCCCAGAGTGCTAGGATTACAGGCATGAGCCACTTGCACCTGGCCTAATTTTTTTCTTTTTTCAGTTTTGGCTGGGGCTGGACTTGAACCCACCACCCCTGGTATATGGGGCTGGTGCCCTACTCCTTGACCCACAGGCACTGCCCTGCATTTTTTTTTTAGATTGAGTCTCACTCTGCTGCCCCAAGCTAGAGTACTCTGGCATCATAGCTCACAGCAACCACAAAGTCTTGGGCTTGAGCAATCCTCTTGCCTTAGCTTCTCGAATAGCTGGGACTACAGGTGCCTGCCACCATGCCCAGCTAGTTTTTTCTAGTTTTAGTAAAGACTGAGTCTTGATCTTGCTGATATTGAACTCCTGAGCTCAGGCAATCCATCCAACTCTGCCTCCCAGTGTGCTGAGCCTACAGGAGTAAGCCACCACACCCAGCCCAGAGAGAAGTATTTATAAAGCATTGGCTCCCTAAGTTGACCATGTATCTCTGAACCTTCTTTCTTTCTTTTATATAGGACTACAAAGGGAAGAATGCAGACAATTAAATGTGTGGTTGTAGGAGATGGGGCTGTAGGGAAAACCTGCCTCCTCATCAGTTATACAACAAATGCCTTTCCTGAGGAGTATATCCCTACTGTCTTTGACAATTATAGCACCCAGACATCTGTGGATGGCCAAATCGTCAGCCTGAACCTATGGGACACTGCTGGCCAAGAGGAGTATGACCGTCTGCGAACACTCTCCTATCCCCAGACCAATATCTTTGTCATTTGTTTTTCCATTGGCAACCCGTCCTCTTATGCCAATGTGAGGCATAAGTGGTACCCAGAGGTCTCCCATCATTGTCCCAATGTACCTGTTCTGCTGGTAGGTACCAAAAGGGACTTGCGGAGTGACTTTGAGACCGTGAAGAAGCTGAAGGAGCAGAGCCTAGTACCCACAACTCCTCAGCAAGGCACTTCACTTGCTAAACAGGTGGGGGCTGTGAAGTATTTGGAATGTTCAGCCCTGAAGCAGGATGGGGTGCGTGAAGTATTTTCAGAGGCTGTGCGGGCTGTGCTTTACCCTGCCACAAAGAAAAACACCAAGAAGTGCATCCTCTTATAGCTTTTGGGTGCCACGTGGGGACTGCACCTAAGGAGTTTAAGGGAGGGGATTCCTTTGACAGCAATTAAGAATGCCAGCATAAGCCATTTTTCTAGAAACTCTAGACTCCAGGATTTTTGGCTTTTGGAAGAATGAAGACAGACTGGTTTATACATGGCTGCTTTGAAATTTGGTCTATCCTTTTTGTGGAGGAAAGTGTGTGTATGTGTGTTACACACGCATGTGTATCCTCTGTCAAAATGGTTAAGAGGAGACACCACACAGTGTGTTGTTTTCTCTCCTGGCCAGGCCTTGAGTAAGCAAAGCAGTCTTGTATTATTCTTTGTAGGCTTTTGCTTGTTTGCTTTTAAATCTAATTTCAGCTTTCCTTGCTGTATTTAACATTGAGCAAGTGCCTCACAGAAAGACAAAGTTGTTCAGTTTTCATATCATTGCCTTAAACTTTCTCCTATACATTTTTTTTTTTTTGAGATGGTGACTTGCTTCGTCACCCTGGGTAGAGTGCAGTGGCATCATTGTAGCTCACAGCAGTTTCAAAATCATAGAGTCAAGAGATCTTCCTGCCTTAGCCCCCCAAATAGCTGAGACTTACAGGTGTATATGACCATGCCTGGATAATTTTTCTATTTTTTGTAGAAACAGGGTCTTGCTTTGCTCAGGCTGGTCACAAACTCCTGACCTCCAGCATCCTCCGACCTTGGCCTCCCAAAGTGCTAGGATTACATGATATGCTAATTTTTGAAAACCACCTTTTTTATTTTTCACATGCACCTCTGCTTGAATTGAAAGGCATTTTATGTATGATTTCTGGGTATTCCCCATGATGACATGTTCCTCCCATTCTCGAGACTTTTTCTTTTGAGACAGTTTGTTGCCCTTGGTAGAGTACCATAGGGTCATAGCTCACAGCAACCTGAAACTCTTGGGCTCAAGTGATTCTCTTGCCTTGGCCTTCCAAGTAGCTGGGAATACAGGCCACCAGGACGACTGGTTATTTTTAGAGACAAGATCTTGCTCTGGCTCAGGCTGGTCTCGAACTTGTGAACTCAGGCAATCCACCCACCTCGGTCTCCCAGAGTGCTAGGGTTACAGGCGTGAGCCACCTGTGCCCAGCCTATTGTTTTTCCATTGAGCTAAAGTCTTACTTTGTTGCCTTGGTGTCATAGCTCACAGCAACCTCAAACTCTTGGGCTCAAGAGATCTTGCCTCAGCTTCCCCAGTAGCAGGGACTATAGCTGTGTGCCAGTAAGCCTGGCTAGTTTTTCTATTTTCAGTAGAGATGGGATCTCACTCTTGCTCAGGCTGGTCTGTAACTCAGGACCTCAAGCAATACACCTACCTCAGCCTCCCAAAGTGCTAAGGATTATAGCTGTGAGCCATGATGCCTGGCCCAAGATGAGACATTTTCACAAAAATGTTAAGTATCATTTTCCAAAGTTTTCTGGGATGGTAATAGATGTTTCTTAAGGGAGTTCTGTTTACAAATAAGCTCAAGAACTAGCAATTTATTATTCTAGAGACAGAGTCTCATTTTGTCACCCTTGGTAGAGTGCTGTGGCATCATAGTTCTTAGCAACCTCCAGCTCTTGGGCTTAGGCCACAATACCTGGATATTTTTTTGTTGCAGTTTGGTGGGGGTGGGTTTGAGCCCGCTACTCTCGGTATATGGGGTGGGTGCCCTACTCACTGAGTCACAGGCGCCACCCAAGACCCAGTAATTTAAATAAAATTGAACAGATTCTTTTATAGCAGGATTTTATAACAGTATGTATGCAACATTTCCCAAACTTATTACACACTGAACTTTCTTTTTGGTCCCATGCAACACCTATTAATATTTCTGGTGAGAGTTTCAGAGAAGCTAGGTTAATGGGAACTAAGAATTTCTAAGGAGGAAGCTGTAAAAAGTTAAAAAGCAGGGTGGTGCCTGTGGCTCAGTGAGTAGGGCACTGGCCTCATATACCAAGGGTGGTAGGCTCTAACCCAGCACAAAAAAAGTCAGAAAGTGATGTGGTCTTGTTCTTGTTCTTTTTGGTGTCTCCTTCATCCTCTGCAGACAGATGTTTACCAGCATGGACTTGTTAATGGTTCCTCTGTTTCAAGAGATGGGTCTTGCACTTAGTTATGATAGTGCATTGATATGTGATCTGATAGAGATATGGACCTGGTTATGTGGAATTATCAATCTCCCCTGAAAAGCTGTGCTTGAATCTTCTGTGTGGTTCCTTTTCCTCTTTTACTTTTTGTTTTAGGGATAGACTAGTCAAGGATAACCACATAAATAAAATAAAAAATAAAATAAACAAGCTGTCCTGCCAGTCATTGTCAGGGAGTTCTATGCTTCTGGGACTTCTGCCATCATTTATGTGCACATTTGAGTCTATAAAGGCTGCTCTGCTCCATTCCTGTATTCCTTCTTCAGGACACTTCTCTGTGCTTTTTCAGCCCTATGGTCCTTTTTTATTTCTTTTAAAGAGACAGAGTCTCCCCTGGCGTGCAGTGGGATGGTCATAGCTCACCAACCTCTCAGTATTTTTCAACCTTTTTTTTAATCACACGTCCCTTGAACCTATAGTTAAACTACCATGGCACACTTAAATTATGGTGATTAAAAAGTTAAAAAAAAAAAGAATATGTTAGCGGTGCCCATAGCTCAGTTGGTAGGGCGCCAGCCACATACACTGAGGCTGGTGGGTTCGAACCTGGCCCGGGCCAGCTAAAACAGTAACTGCAACAAAAAAAAAATAGCTGGGTGTTGTGGTGGGTGCCTGTTGTCCCAGCTACTTGAGAGGCTGAGGTAAGAGAATCGCTTAAGCCCAAGAGTTTGATGTTGCTGTGAGCTGTGATGCTATGGCACTACTGAGGGCAACAGCTTGAGACTTTGTCTCAAAAAAAAAATGCTTACTGTGCTTTGAATGTCTTTCAAAAATAATCTTAAAAAATTTTTGATGGCACACTGCTCAAAAATCACTGCTATAACTCCTGGGTTCAAGTGATCCTACTGCCTTAGTCTCTAAAGTATCTAGGACTACAGGTGTGCACTACCAGGCTCTGCTTTTACATTTTTGTAGAGAATGGGTCTTGCTATGTTGCCTAGGGTGGTCTTGAACTCCTGGCTGGCCTCAAGTGATCCTCCTACTTCAGCCTTCCGTGAAAGTGTTGGGATTACAGGCCTGCGCCACCTCACTGGCTGGAAGTTTTTTGTTTTTAAAGATGGGATCTCTCTTTATGTTGCCTAGTCTGGGCTCAAACAATCCTGCGTACCTGGGACTACCAGCACATGCCACTATGCTTGGCTTTGAGGTCTTTTAGTTCAGAGTTAAGAGTATGTTGGCTCCTCATCTGTGTACCCTAACGCTGTCCCTCTTATGGTTGTACAGGACTTTAGGCTTTGTTAGAGTTGTTCAACTTTCCTTAGGGCAGTGGTTCTCAACCTTCCTAATGCCATGGCCCTTTACTACAGTTCCTGTGGGTCCCCACAGGTTGAGAACTGCTGCCTCAGGGCAATCAGATTATATGTCCAAGTGGGCCTGCTTCTCCTTTTCCCTAGTTTGATTTTTGACCTTCATTTGGTAAGGAAGGAATGTTTACATAATAGTGGTTGACACAGTACACACACCCTGCCAAACAGCATCAGGTTTTCCGTTTTTTGAGAGTTGGAGAGCTAAAAGGATCATATAATCTGTGCCTACCCTCTGCCCTGCTGTGGGTGAAGTGCCTGCTTTGCTGTAGTAGTCTCCATGTTGCTTTTTTTTTTTTTTTGAGACAGAGCCTCAAGCTGTCCCCCTGGGTAGAGTGCCATGGCATCACAGCTCATAGCAACCTCCAACTCCTGGGCTCAAGCGAGTCTCCTGCCTCGGCCTCCCAAGTAGCTGGGACCACAGGCGCCCGCCACAACGCCTGGCCATTTTTTAGCTGCAGCCATCATTGGTATTTGGCGGGCCCGGGCTGGGGATTTGAACCCGCCACCTTAGGTGTATGTGGCTGGCGCCTTAGCCACTTGAGCCATAGGTGCTGAGCCTCCATGTTGCTTTATGACAAGATTTGGGAAGAGTATCCTCAGGCTAATTGAACCTGGATAAGGTTGACAGACATTAAGTACACAAGGTCCTGTTAAATTTGAACTTCAGATAAACAATCTTTTAGAAATAATTTTTGAGGGCATGGTGGTTCACACCTGTAATCTCAGCACTCTGGTAGGCCAAGGTGGGTAGTAGATCGCCTAAGCTCAGGAGTTCAAGACTAGCCTGAGCCAGAACGAGACCTCATCTCTAAAAATAGCTGGGCATTGTGGTGAGCGCCTGTAGTCCCAGCTACTTGGGAGGCTGAGGCAAGAGAATTGCTTGAGCCCAGGACCTGGAGGTTGCTGCGAGCTATGACACCACGGCACTCTACTGAAGGGCAACAAAATAAGACTCTGTCTAAAAAAAGATTTTTATAGTGTATCATAAAATATTTGGAACATAAACATTTATTGTTTATCTGAAAGTTTAATGAAGCAGCTTATATATATGTGTGTGTATATACATATACTTTTTTTTTTTTGAGACAGAGCCTTAAACTGTCTCCCTGGGTAGATTGCTATGGCATCACAGCTCACAGCAACCTCCAACTCCTGGGCTCAAGCGATTTTCCTGACTCCACCTCCCAAGTAGCTGGGACTACAGGTTCCCACCACAATGCCCAGCTATTTTTTGGTTGCAGCTGTCATTATTTGTCCAGCCCAGGCTGGATTCAAACCCGCCAGCTCAGGAGTATGTGGCTGGCGCCTTAGCTGCTTGAGCCACAGGCCCTGAGCCGGCAACTTATATTTTTATTTAATAAATTCAGTAGTAGGTCTTACTCTTGGAGAATGAAACCTGGTCAAGTAGGTACCAATAAACTCCGTATTCTTTCACTTTTTCTTCCCGTTTCCCTTTTCTCCCATTAAAGTGTTTTGTTTTGCTTTTCTTTCATCACTGCACCATCTTCTTCATAGATGTTCACTTGTCTTTTTTTTTTTTTTGAGACAGTCTTTCTACACTGCCTTTGGTAGAGTGCTGTGGCATCACAGCTCACAGCAACTTCAAACTTTTTGGTTTAAGCTATTCTCTTGTCTGAGCGTCCTGAGTAGCTGGGACTACAGGCACTTGCCACAATGCCCAGCTATTTTTATTTGCTGCAGTTGTTATTGTTCGAACCTGCCAGCCTCAGTGCATGTGGCTGGTGCCATAACCACTGGGCGCGGAGCCTCGCTGGTGTCTTATTTCTACACCATCGATTGTCTAAAGCTGTGGAGGGTCCAAGTTGGATGGTATTGTCTAGCACATACTATTGCAATTTCAGTGTACTGTATCTATTTTCGGGTGTGTGGCCCAGCGCCCCCTGTGGGGGGTAGCAGGGATTCAGTCTGAGTAGCATATTAACTGGAAGAGGGTGAGATGTACAACT